ACATATATATATATACACATATATATATATACACACACACATACACACACACATATATATATATACACACACACATACACACACACATATATACACACACACATACATATATACACGTTTTTTTAGTGTTCTTTCTGGGTTTAGATTCATCACCTGAACTAACAGATGCAATGTAACTAATTATAAAAGACGCTAATATCACCGATTAATCGTGAGATCTAATCAGTCCTACTCATTACAAATCAGGAAAACAAACAGGTCCAGGTGAGTCTCACCTGAGTGACCAGTGGCTGCAGCAGGGAGGCGGAGCCTTTCCCGACACATCGTACAGCGAACCTGAGACAGCGACAGCATCGCTCCACGATCCTGTTATCAGCCTGATGAGTGTTCAGAGTCTCCGACAGCACTGGCCAGATCTAGAAGTGAGTCACATGACGCAGGTAAGACATGTAAAACAAACCCTACAGGTAAGATATGTTCATTGAAGACATTATCTCATTTACAGTGGAGTAACATGACACAGATAAAACGTAACAATAACATACGAACGGCTCTACAGGGAGGTTATTCATGAATAAAATACTTTGTGTAAATATTCAAATGAGTCTTCCAGGAAGAATTCAGGTGAGCTCAGGTGTTTTACCTCCTGAATGACCTTCTGACAGGGGTGAGTCTGTCCGTTCTCTACAATAGGATTTGTGTGTCTGTAGGAAAAACAAACAAATTGTAAGAGCCTATTCACAGTCTGCTGCTGCGTAAATTTAAATAAAGTTTGAAATTTGAATACAAGTAAACTCACCTGAAGATAACAGCCAGTCTGTCGAGCCAGACGGTGGGATCAGCTGATTTACCATTCGTAGATTCCTCAGTCAAAAGCTGAAGGAGAAAAGAAAACATTAACTTTGGTATTCGTTTTAAAAGTGCTGCTTTTATGCAGAGTCAGGAGGATAGACAGGTGACTTACCTTTTTTAGAGCTATGACCTGAACAGCACACAGGTCACTGAGACATTCTGCAATCTTCTCCAGAGGAAGGCGGGCCAGGACCAGAGCTGTACCTGTACAGGTAAATACACAAAGCGTAACATTGAGGCAACAGACCTGAGGACTAGAGCTGTACCTGTACAGGTAAATAAACAAATAACTGAAGTTTTCCCATCAGGTGCACACAAGCAGCAGCTCCCACAGACCCATCAGCACTAGCTGGGAGTTGTCAGGTATTAGAATTAGTGATTATGAATACTAATTCGCCAGGTGGTGCACTGACCTGACGATGTCTTTAAAAGGTGTGTTACAGGTGTAATAACGTACCTTTAAGCAGTCCAACAGCGGCCTCGGTCGACAGGACGAAGGAGTCCAGGGCCCGAGCGATGTCCAGTAGACCCTGGAAGTGTTGAGCCATGTGGTCTCTGCACACTGAACAGATGTTGTGGATTGCCTTCGCTGCTGCCGACGCCAGAGATTTCTCTCTGAGGCCTTTCATCAGGTAGTTTAACACGGGGTCTGTGACAGGAAGAGGAAACACAGAGTCAGGGTTTTCAAAATAGACGTACCACCTTTACAGAGTCAGGACAATAAAGACAAGTCATATATCATATCAGTCCAGTATGTCCTCACTGGTTACCAGTATAAAATCAGTCCAGTCAAAACACCTTTTGTTGCCTCTCTCAGTCTGCCATTGGACCGTTTCAGTCTGCCATTGGACTGCCATTGGACCGTTTCAGTCTGCCATTGGACCGTTTCAGTCTGCCATTGGACCGTTTCAGTCTGCCATTGGACCGTTTCAGTCTGCCATTGGACC